AACCCAAAACAGAATAAACCCCAAAATGTCTACACCATCTCAAACAATTCCAATCAAAATCTCACAAGCTCTTTTGTATATGTCAACAAGCTCATTCTAACATTTATATGGAAAGGCAAAGGAACTAGAATAGCTAAAACTACTTTGAAAAAAGAATGTTAAAGGAACCACACCACCTGTTTTTAAGATTTACCATAAAGCTAAAGTAATTAAGACAGCATAGTATCACAGAAGGGAGAAACACACAGATCAACAGAACAGCAAGAGTTCAGAAAGAGACCTACATAAATATGGCTTAATGATTTTTACAATGGTGCAGAAACAATTCAATGGAAGAATAGTCTTCTTATCAAGATGTTGTAACTAAACATCTACATGCCAAAAAAAAATGAGTGTGGATCTAAAACTCACTTCATACAAATATTGAGTCTGTTGAATTTGGTGATGGGATCTTAGACATGGCAACAGAAGCATAATCCATATAAGAAAACATAAACTGGATTTAATCAAAATTTAAAATGTTTGCTTTATCAAAAATGGTTAAGGGAATGAAAGGACAAGCTACAGATGGGGAGAAAATATTTGCAAGTCATATATCTTACAAAAGCTTTTATCCAGAATATGTAACAAACACTCAAAATTTAACCATATGGAAACCATCCAATTTAAAAGTAGGCAAAAGACATGAAGAGATGCTTCATCAAATAAGATATAAGAATGGTGAATAAGCACATGAAAAGATGATCCACATCATTAGGCATTGGGAAATACAAATTAAAACCACAACAAAGACACCACTGTGGCCAGGCACGGTGGCTCACGCCTGTAATCCCAGCAATTTGGGAGGCCGAGGCAGGCAGATCACCTGAGGTCGGGAGTTCGGGACCGGACTGACCAACACAGAGAAACCCCGTCTCTACTAAAAATATAAAATTAGCTGGGCGTGGTGGCACGTGCCTGTAATCCCAGCTACTTGGGAGGCTGAGGCATGAGAATAGCTTGAACCCAGGAGGCAGAGGTTGTGGTGAGCCGAGATCATGCCATTGCACTCCTGCCCGGGCAACAACAGAAAAACTCTGTCTCAAAAAAAAAAAAAAAAAAGACACCACTACACACCTATCGGGATAGTTCAAAATACTGCCAGTATGAAGTGCTGGCAAAGATAATACAATGCTGGCGAGAATGCAAAATGTGCAAGCACTTTGGAAATCATTTTGGCAGTTTCTTATAAAATTAGGTGCACACTTAATCATGTGATCCAGCATTCCCTCCAGATATCAGGCAAAAACCTGTTATGTTAATGTTTTAACAACTTTATACATAATCGCTAGAAAGTGGAAACAAACCAATTATCTCTCAAATAGTGAATGGATAAAAATGGATAAACAAACTGTAGTCTATCCATATGAGAGAACACTACTTAACAATAAGGAGGAATGAACTAGGGGATGAATATAAAGGGAGAGTGGGAGATCTTGTGGGTGATGAAACTGTTCTGTATCTAGATTATGGAATGGGGTTTCACTACATGATAATTTTAAAGAACTTTATAGTATTAAAGAGCTAAACACTATTAAATAAATAAATGTATGCAGCCTTCAGGTATTTCTATTTTAACTAACACTGGGATTTCACTACTGTTCATCCTTTCCCTGCTGAGTAATGCAGTGTTCATTTTACAATTTCATTAAATTGAGATTAAGTTACATACAGAACAGGATTGCCAGATTTAGCAAACAGAGGAACCTAGTTAAGTTTAATTTCAAATAAAAATTTGGTAGGTTCCCTACTAACACCCGTGGTAGCTTTTTTCTTTTATCCTTGGTTTTCATCAGTTTTACCTGTTATGTTAGGTATGATTTTATTTATTTCACTTGGGGTTCACTCAGTTTATTGGATCTGTTAAGTTGACAGCTTTTTGGCTTTGACAGAATTTGGGGTAATTCTGGCCTGTAAGTTACTTATATTTTCTTCTGCCCTATTTTCCTTCTATTCTTCTAGAAATCCAGTTACGTAAGTTAAATTGCTTGATATTTCCCCAAATGGCATTGAGGCTCTGTGCTGTTTTCCTTCTAATCTTTTCTTCTCTCTTCCTCAGATTGGACAATTTCTTTCATGTATCATCTGTATTCTCCAGTTAAACCCGACCATTTTTTTTTTAAATGTTTCCACTTTTGGGGTGAGAGTATACACTTATATGCATTCATTACAACCACACTACCTTTTCTTTTTTTTGAGACTAAGTCTGGCTCTGTCGCCCAGGCTGGAGTGCAGTGGCCGGATCTCAGCTCACTGCAAGCTCCGCCTCCTGGGTTTACGCCATTCTCCTGCCTCAGCCTCCCGAGTAGCTGGGACTACAGGCGCCCGCCACCTCGCCCGGCTAGTTTTTTGTATTTTTTAGTAGAGACGGGGTTTCACCGTGTTAGCCAGGATGGTCTCGATCTCCTGACCTAGTGATCCGCCCGTCTCAGCCTCCCAAAGTGCTGGGATTACAGGCTTGAGCCACCGCGCCCGGCATCACACTACCTTTTCTTCCATGAACATAGTTCTAAAAACTGCTTTAAAAATAACCTTGTCTGCTAATTCCACTATCACCTAGTTTATGTTAGGATTTTTTTTCCTATTGTCTGCTCTTTTTTTAAAACCATAAGCTATAAGCCGTATTTCCTTATTTCTTTGGATACCCTATAGCATTTTATTGTATTCAGGTCATTGTTTATATGTTATGCAGATTCATTTTATTATACTCTGAAGAGTGCTAAGCTTTGATCTCATTTAAATTATTGGCTAATCACCTTGATTTTACATTATGTTAAAGGTTTTATCCTTAGTTTTAGCATAAATCTTTAGTCTTGTGCACAGCCTTTATTAATACATGGCCATTCTGGGGGTTTGGGAAGCTCAAAGTTCTATCAAGCCCTTCTAACTTGTCAGAATTCAAACTTGAAACTCTGTCTTCTGTTGCAAAAGAAAACAGCCATCTCTGTTCAGCTTCTTGAGCCTTCCAACTGTGGCTTTTCACCAAGGTCCATGGAGTCTTCCTGGGGCCTGCACGGTTCGAGAGTTAGCTAAGGATTCAAGGAGAGATCATATGCAGACAGGAAGCCTCCTCCATTTCTGACACCTTCATTTCTAGGATCTGCTGCTTTAATTTTCAGTCCTTCTAGCAGCCCTTAATTCCATCCTAACACCTCAAGCCAGTAAGACCGCAACTTTCTCTTGAGTTCTAGCCATGCCTTACCACACAGTCTGGGAATGACCTAAGGGGAAAAATCATATATAGTTCACAGCTGGTTTCAGTGACTCCCTAGAGTTTTTAGACCATTGTTTATTATATTTTGTCCACAGTTTATAATTGGGAGGGTTTGGACATTACAAGCTATAACACCATTACTAAAACCAGAAGTTCTTCATTTTATAGTTCTTAAATGTTTAGTTTAACATATGAGAACAAAATAATATACAACTGGTATTTAAATGTACTTGGCTCTCTCCCCTTCTGTGTCTAACAGATTGAAAATGACACCAGGCATGGTGGCTCATGCCTGTAATCCCAGCACTTTGGAAGGCCGAGGCGGGTGGATCACTTGAGGTCAGGAGTTCAAGACCAGCCTGGCCAACATGGCGAAACCCTATCTCTACTAAAAATAGAAAAAAAAAAAAGCCAGGCG